TGAAGCTGCACATTCCCATACGAGCACGTTTTTGTTTGACAGCAGCAGTAATGACAAGAATTGTTTACTCTACAGTTCTCCGCCATTCAAGCATCTAAAGGGACATGAGATCATTTATCCTCTTAGCTTCAATATGAGGTATTTTAATCAATACCATATGTTTTTTTCTTACTGAGAGCAATAATGAATTCTAGCACCAGTGCTGCTAGCATTTCCCACAAGTTGTTCGCTTGTCTATGTCCTAACTTTGCCCAGAAGGTCTTCCCCTTCTGGATAGAGAAAAAGATTTCTAGCTTGTGTAGAGACAGTATACCAGAAATTCAACCTCATACACTGATCTATTCTTCCCAAGACAAGAAACATTATCAGTTGAAAGTTCAGTACAAAATAGGTAGCGTTTGTCTAGATTATATTTCTGCTTCATGAATTTTGAACATAACATTAACCCTGATCACCTACACAAATCATTTAAGTTGCTGGGAAAATAGATTCAAGACTGGCCTTTCAGTACTTAAATATAGCCTCCAGTAACCTACATATCCTTTGAAACCTTCATTTCCAGAAAATGAGACAAGGTCAAAATAAGTAACAGCTTTCTGCTTAAGGATACTGAACTTAGATGATTTTACAGGGATGTTACATAGTGTATGGACATCACAGAACTACCCACCATGCAGCAGAGGGACAAACTCTTGTGGGACATCTGTGCACAACACAGATTGTTCTTCCTCACCTCTCCACCTCAGAAAAACACAACTGAAAACTGCATACTGAATAGGTCTGTATGCAAAGCTTCAACTCTAGTGACTTTTTCAGAGCCAAAACTGGCTTCCCTTGCTCACAGTGATCTTTCTGCCAACCCACAGTAGTCAAAGGAGGGTCCAGACTGTCTTCTACACAAGAAAGAATGATCTTTTTATCCATAACGATGCTGTAATTTTTTCTTAACATAAACAGCAACACACAGAACAACATGACAAGTGTCACACCTGGGATGAGCAAAAGGCATGGAACAGTTGTATAGTATGTGCATATGTATTGCTAAATGCCATGAAACCATCTCTACACCCGGAGTTATTTCCAAGTTTGCTTATGTACACAAGTACACAATTACTTCTGGACATATGTAGAGATACAAACATATGAATTATGGAAAACTTACTCTATTCCCTTTCCCACAAAAGTGCGTATTTAGTTACTAAGGAATCCTGTCTACAAGAGTCTAGCACATGAGTTTATGATACTCTCTTACTTAAACGTACCTCCCAAATCTTCTTCTCTTTCTTTACTTAGAACTTTGCCCCACTGCTCTGAAACAAACTCAGTCCTCTTTTTAAGAAACAAATGACATAACTACTAATTACTTTTAATTCACAGTGTCCTAGAAAAATTCTTATCTCCAAGTGTTCTTCCACCCTAACCTATGCCCCAGTACACATATTTATCATGCAAAACATGCCAAAAGTAACTCCTTCAATCAGCAAGCTGACATCTGTCGCTGACTAAAAACTCTCAGAAGTTCCAACGTGAACCAATTTGTAAACTCAAGGATGACATATTAGATCTTCCAGAAAGATCTAGGCACATGTAATACTCAGATTGCTCATTTTTATTGCCACTGTTGCACTATAGATACTCAATGCATCGTATTTCAGTGATGCATTCGCTTCAAACTTTTATGCTGAAAGCTGACAAAGTAAGGAAGTCAGTAAACTTCTGTCCACAAGGCAAATTGAGCTGGAAATTAAGAATGATTTTTTTTTTTTTTAAAGTTTCCTCCAGTCACTACAGTCATTGGCTGAGAATATTAAAGTATGTGAGATTTTCTACATCTCAATTGTTTAGGGAAAGAAACTTAAAGTTTAGAAAAAATACTTGTTCTGCAAGCCTACTTCCCTATGAGATTGTTGAAGAATCAATTCAATGCCTAGGAGCTAAAAAACAAAAGTTACTCGCCCCAGACCCTACAGCTCACAACATGATATGGAAGAAAAACATTCTGACAAAAATTTTCTGTTTCATAGAACAGCTTAACACATTACCTACAGGTTTTCATTGAAGAAAAGAAATCCCTTAAGACCACAAAGACAAAATCCAATTCCATTTTTAAGATCTTAAAATGTACTTGTACAAAACATTGTATTTAGTTTCTTCTGTCACATTTTCCCATCACAGAAATGATAAATGAAAGAGCAAATCATGAGAGTTCATAGCTAAGCAGTTTACTGCTCTGTGAGAGATAACCAATCTTCTTCCTACAACATGCACTTGTAAAAATAAATTTACCATTATGTGAAATAACATGAATACTGTGAGCACATATGGTGCCACAGACTGTTTACACAACAAGCAGTAAGGTGAGTTAAACTAGATCAGTAGATCATACCACTTAATGCCAATATTCTTTACATCCTCCATTAGATGTTATTTGGGGTTTATTTTAGACTAGATTTAGCCTTGTTCAGTGGACCAAAAATGCAGTTCCAAACATTCTAATGGAAAATTATCCCACAGATCTTCACTCCTTCGGCTAAAAGATCTTCTAGGAAGTATCATGCTGACTCTTCCCTCTGTTTATTGCACATGACAGTAGCATGTCAGTTCACATGACCAATAGGTACTGTCATACAGTCTGCGTGTCCCCTGTCTATAACAACTCTGGTCACAAAGCTGAAGCATGTGCCACTGTCTTCTTGCTGAGAAAGGATATAATCATTCTTGATGTTCTCAGTGCCAGGAAAGACACTGCATACCCTTGCACTCCAACCCAGAAAATAAACCCTGACAACAATCCAACACATCTAATTTAACTATGATTTTACTGAATGCATAGTGGAACTGCAATCTATGTCTAGTCAATTGAATGACACTGGGCTATGTGGAGCAAACACTGTAAAAATGTTCCCAACACTTTCCGAATTCAGGGTATCACTTGTAGCCTAAACAGTCTCTGAGGATATCACTGAGATCTTCATTCAGACTGAAATACTTCTGCAGTAAATATATGCCCATTTCTCTACTCACTTTGTCATGCATGGGGCATCCAGCAATAACACAGTCACAACTTATCATTCCCCCTTACTTCCACCTTTTATATTTGACTAAAGTTGACTCACATACGGAAGAAAAAGATAACATAGAAAGAGACAACACAGCCTCACTAGGGTTGCATCAGACGTTCAGCTTCATAGAAAGCATCTTTTGGGGAGGACCTCAGCTTCTGAGAAAGAAAAGTTTCAGCTAATGACCCTAACAACCACATGCAAGCATGTCTCTGTATGCATTGTATTACTTTAATTCATTATTCCATTCCTGTTAATCTTGTGTCCACAAAATGTGGTTTAGTGGCTTGTGGTAGCAAGGGTACTGGGAAGATGGTTGGACTAGATGATCTTGTAAGTCCTTTCCAATCTTGTGATTCTATGATTCTGCTCTCTTTTGTACCACTAATCATTGTGCTTTCAGCAACATGTTCCCAATGGACAGCAGAACATTCTTGCACTATACTCTGTACAGAGGCATGGAGGCACAGTTCCCTACTCCAACATAATCACAGAAACACCAAGATTGGAAAAGACCTACAAGATCATCTAGTCCAACCATCCACCTATCACCAATAGTTCTCACTAAACCACATCCCTCAACACAACATCCAAACACTCCTTGAACACCACCAGGGTCGTGAATCTACTACCTCCCTGGGCAGCCCATTCCAGACCCTGACCCCTCTTTCAGGAAAGTAGTATTTCCTAACATCCAGCCTGAATCTCCCATGGCACAACTTGAAGCCATTCCCTCAAGTCCTATCACTCGTTACACAAGAGAAAAGGCTGACCTCAAGCTCACTACAACCTCCCTTCGGGTAGTTATAGAGAGCAGTAAGGTCTCCTCTGAGCCTCCTCGTCTCCAGACTGAACAATTCCAGCTCCTTCAGCCACTCCTCATACGACCTGTGCTCCAGACCCCTCACCAGCTTTGTCGCCCTTCTTTGAACTCACTTTAGGGCCTCAATGTCTTTCTTGCAGTGAGGGGAGACCAAAACTGGAAACAATACTTGAGGCGCAGCCTCACCAGAGCTGAATGTAGGGGAACCATCGCTTCCCTGTTCCTGCTGGCAACACTGTTTCTGATGCAAGCCAAGATGACACTGGCCTTCTTGGCCATCCAAGCACACTGCTGTCTCATGTTCAGCCGAGCATCAATCAATACCCCCAGGTCCATTTCCTCTACACAGTCTTCCAGCCACTCTGCCCCAAGCCTGTAGCGCTGCCTGAGGTTGTTGTGGCCAAAGTGCAGGACCCAGCATTTGGTTTTGTTGAACATCATCCCATTGGCTTCAGCCCAGTTATCCAGCCTGTCCAGATCCCTCTGTAGGGCCACACTGCCCCCAGGCAGATCAACACTTCCAGTTAACTTGGTGTCACCTGCAAATTTACTGAGGGTGCACTGAATGCCCTCATCCAGGAAATCAATAAAGATAGGACTGTCCCCAGCACCGACCCCTGGGGAACACCACTTGTGACAGGTTGCCAGCTGGATTTAGCTCCATTCACTACCACTATCTGGGCTCTGCCCTTCAGCCAGTTCCTTATCCAGCCAATAAGTGACTGTCATGAAGACCAGGTCCAGAAAGTGCTTATTCAAGCAGGGAATGCAGATTCCTTGCTCTATCTCCAGTTCAGGAACCATCTTCTGCCTTGATGCAGATCCAATAAGCTCTGGAATCTGTAGTACTCAGTTTTCACTCTCCAATGCAGCAATCAAGGATGAGATTATTCCTCTACATGCTACCTAAGCTACCCGCAAAGCTATTAGAAATGGCTCACAAACTACATTTGTACCGTAAACCAGCACTAGAAGAGGCCAGGCCTAACATACTATGTTAAAATACCTAAAATTTTGACATAAGCTGAAAATGGAAATTTGAGAGGAAAACAAAATTCCCCAAATTCCTCACTGCACTCATTGTAGAAAAGACCAAGTTGACAGTTCATACTTACCTCATACAAAACTGTAGGATTCCCATGAAGAAGAGGCCCATAGCAAATGTAAGAATGACCAACTACCCAGCCTAAATCAGAAGCTGCCCACCACACCTAAAATGAAATAAAAACATGAGAAAATTGTTGTTTTTAAGACAAGTTTCAAAATATTTAGATGACATTTAAACAGAATTACCTCACCAGGTTTGAGTCCATATACAGCTGACATTGTCCAGTTCAGCATAACTGCGTAGCCACCTGTTGGTCTGATAACACCCTAAATGAAAATAATTTGAATATTTAAGATCATTTAAAGAATGCATTAGTATGTCTGTCTTCAATTAAATTTTGAACAGACTTGAAGTTGTCAAATACCAATACCTCACACTTAATAAAAATATTCATTCTTACAGATAAATGCTTCTCACTAGAAGAACATTCTCACTGAAGAAGTAATTTTGGGAAAAAAAAAAACCCGAGTGCTATGATAATTGTTTTCAGAAGAAAACAACTAAGAAAAAGTTGTGTCATTTAAATTGGATACAAATATTTAGTCAATATATGCTAAGTAAAAGATCAAGTCTTTACCTCTCTTAAAGTTTGGCCACCTAAACGTTAGCCACGTGCTTTAAACTCGTTGTCTAGTCTCCCTAAATCAACAGAGCAATGTCAAGAGCCATTGGCACCTGTGCCTGTGTTGTATGTATTGGCACTTGCCTAAATAACTGGGGTAAATTACTCTGTGAAAATACACTGTACTGATTCTTTCTGTACCGATTCCTTCAAGTCTTGTCCAATAACCTGGGGAGGTAAGAGACACCTTAACTCATTAAAATGGAGACTGCTATCACAGATAATGGTTAACTAACGTGAATTTCAGAAAGCAGGTTTCCTTTGTTAGTCTCAGTTTCTAACTTAGTCTCTGCTCTGAGATTAACAAAAGTTTTGTTTGGAGGGTACCATAACTGAATAATTTTACTCGTGTGAGTTGTTAGAACTAAATAATGTCTATGAACATGTGATACTGCCTCTGAATTTGTGACAGTGAAATCACTGCTGGTGAACTATATTCAGATCATCTTCTACGCTTCAAAAAGAACTGTAAGAACCGAACAAACATGCAGAGTTTGCTTTTAAAAATAAATCATTAAGACTAATTGACACTTAAAAGCAAAGATTTTCAAATAATGCCCTACCTAATCTAAACCTTCATTTTCATGGGAATTATATCCTCAGAACTGTTCAGAAACACAAGTCTTTAGAAGATGCCTAATTCCACTTAATCTGTAATGTCATCCATTACATCTTATCTATGGGAAGACTAGCTAATATGTAAATAATGAATAAGCAAAGACTATTCAGCAATAAATGTTATCATGGAAGAGATATTAACTAATCTTGCCATTAAATGCTTACTCTACGTGTATCTCAGTTAAAATACAGAAAATATTCATGAATAGAAGTTATTCTGCTATTTTCAGAGGTTTATATTATACAAACACTTTGAATTAAATAGTTTATTTTATATTAATGCTATTTAAATAAACATTATTTACTCCTAGACACTGACTTTGAAGTAGAGAAATATGGATAATGAGATTAAAGCATTTCTAACAACTCTCATCATTTTCAGCACTGTGCTGTGGTTGATATTTTCAACCTTTTTAACTAAATATTTTCTCAAGTGGAACTGCAAATAGATTGGTCACAAACACTTAGTCTACAGATAGTCCTTTACCTTGGGCAAGCCTGTTGTTCCAGATGTATACAGAATATAAAGAGGATGGTCTGAAGGAACAGAGACACACTTGTAACACTGTGCTTTTGCGAGCTCTTCTTCCCAATCAAGATCACGACCTGGGGTTAAAGGAACATGCCCCTAAACATAGAAAAACAGAAAAGCATCCAAACAGAATAAAACATGAGTGGGTCAAAAGCATGTATTACTCAGTTTTCTGTACAGTAGCATTAGTTTTACTTTCCATTTAAGTGTTATACATTTAAAGTTTCTCCATAAAATACTAAAGCAAACTACAACATATACATTAAAAATGTTAACTGTAGAAGAAAAAAGGCACATGGACTACTGCAATCCAATGGAAAGAGCAACAACAATAGCAGGGTAGCAAGATTCCAGGTGCAGCAAGTGAGGATTCACTCAAACACAACAGCAATGGGCACAGAAATAAAGGAAAGAAGCTGCTTACCTTCAGAAGGCCTGAGGAATGCAGGAATCTCCAGAGAAATACCCTTGCCTCCACTGCCAATCCTTACATGAAGTCTGGGAAAGGGTGGTTCCTGGCTCCACCTCTTCTGATCACGGAGGTGCACTGCATGCACCTGATATCCCCTGGATTGGCCCTGCCTTCCCACCAGGTGCTCAATCACTGCTTCAAGCCATGACTTAACATTTCCACAACTACATATCTGAAAGCTAACATTAAGGCACTACAACAGTACACTCACCAAGTTTGGTCGCCTGTAAATGAGAACTTTCTCAGGTTTGTTCTGTACCATTGCCAGTGCTCCTTCCAGGAGTGATATGTATTCCACTTTCCTTTTTGGTTCTACTCCAAAACTTGCTGTTACGATAAGTTTGGGCTAAAATAAACAAGTTTAATTGTTCATATACACATTTGCAATATATTTTTATAATATAAATGCAATTTAATAACATGTTTTGCATGAAATCTACCTTTTCATAATTAGTACCAGGGGGTTGGATCCATTTTCTAAAGAACAAAGCATCTGTGATCTTGCAGTCCATGCCTCTACTGTTATTATTTATTTCCACAGCACATTAATAACTGTGACATTCTTCACCATTTTCAACAAATTTAAGAAATAAATCAATTGTATTAAGTTCTTGCAAGTTGCACAAAAATAACTGAACAGAGAGAAAGCCTCATTTCCATGTAGACCTCCACTAAAGGAAAAGCACAGGGTCAAGTCATCTATCCTAGTTAGTTTGCTTTCTAATTACATATACACCTGGACCCAATTAGCTACAACTCTTTGCTGGTTCTTTTTCAGCCTGCAGTTAAATAAATAATGTGGGAGGGAAAAAAATAGAGAAAAAGAAAGGTGAAGAAGAAATGAAACTAGAAATACCAAAAGAGAATAAACTAAAGTCATAAGACACATGAGGAAATTTAAACTAGAGTCTTTCAAGTAATGGCTTCAGGACCCAGGATGCAAATCCACTGAAAAACAGATTTCTGTTTTTCTGGGTGTTATTTTTAGACAAACTTCTATTTCAAAATGTGGATTTTTTTCATTAAGCCAACCTCAGGTGTTGTATAAGATTTCCTAAGTCAAAAAACTTCAACACACTGCATACAAACTATATTGACTTAAATCCCAAGATCAGTACTGCTACTTCTTGTATTCAGGAAATAAAAGGTAGTTTCTCTGGTACTATGTATTAGAAGATATTTTAATCATAGGAGTGCAAGACTTCAACCTCTTTACTTTTAGAGTTTTAGAAACATATTTATCTTGTGCATCTTCTGCAGTTTGATCCAGCTACCGTAGTAATTGCATGTATTAGCATAAACCTCATTAGGTAGGTACAAACCACAGTGCCACAGTTAAGGCTGCATTTAGCTTTACATAGAAAGTACAGATTAAATTGTTTGATTGTGCAGTAATAAAATGTTTCCTGTCCAAATCTGCCATTCAAGAAAGTTTTCTAATTAGCTTGTACTCAAAATATAGATTTCAGATGAGCTTTAACATTTCAGCATTTGTCATCTTTCCCTTTTGGAATGTGGTGAATTTGATTAAGATTTAATACAATGCAGTTAAACTGAAAATTCAACTAGAAGCTACTCTGAATCTAGACTCTAATTAATAAAATTTATTAGCACAGTTCTGTTTAATTGTTACAATGAAAGACTTTAGTCATTGCCAGGTTTACAGTCATTTATAAATAGTGCCCCCTCTGCTCATCAACCACATCATCTGCAGTAAGGTTTTTTTGGACTTCCAATACTAAATTGTCTAAGGTGATGTTTTGCTCACATGAGGGTTACTGCTTGAAAGCATCACAGGTCACTCCATGCAAATCAAAGGCTCATCACTGGTTATCTTCTAGTGTTTGACCTCTCTGCCTACTGATAGTATCTCCTCTGCACATCTGCTCCTATATTGCTTTTATACATTCATTTCCAACCTCTTCCATGGCTCTCCATTGCCCTGCATGATAGATTAGATAGAAATAAAACTACTGTAAATGAAAAACAAGAAAGTTTGGTGGAGAAAGAATGCCGAGATAGCGAACTGTAGGAAAAAAAGGAAGTTGAAATAAGATCAAGTAAGGCCCAATAGTACCAATAGTATCAGACAAACAATATTGTTCTCCCATACAGGGTCCTTCTACCGACTCTAGTAGGTGCAAGGCAAGCTTTAGAAGAAACACTGAATACTTTTATTGGGTCAGCTTTTTATTGGTGACTGTAAAAAGCCTAAGCTGAAAACAGACAAGCTTTGGGCACAAAATGTCAGTACTGTCATGAAGAGGCTTACGGAGAGAGCCAGCACTCAAGCACTCAGCTGTCCAACACACAGAGCTCTTTCCTCTTTTCACTGTACACACATACGTCTTACAATAAACTCAAACTTTCTATGCTTTTGTTGCATCTCCTTCCTCCTTAAAAAAAGTGACACACATTTTAGAGAAATTCAGTGCTCGTGCGACCATTATACACACTCTGCATCTGCTGATAATGATCTGTATCGCTACACGACTGATGTCAGATGTCATGCACATTTATTTCTGTCAGACACTGGACACTGCTCTGCACAGGGACCCGAATTGTAATGTATTAGTAGTTAATAAAAAAAGCCAAACACACAAACAAGATACTGCCTTCTAATTTACAGTGTACTTCTAAACACATATTACAAAAATAAAAAGTGCTTCAAGACAACACAAGACAGAACTGCAAACATTATGAGGCAATTATGTACCTTATGTAATAGCAGCTGAGCTGCTGAAAGAGCTGTCTCTGCTGAAAAAGACCTTCAAGATCATCCAGTCCAACCATCAACCTGACCTACCAAATCTCATCACTAAACTATGACCCATAGCATTAACACATCACTCCTGAATACTTCCAGGGATGGAGGCTCTACCACTTCCCCGGCCAGCCTGCTCCTATGCTTAACCAACCTTTTAATGAAGAAATTGTTTTTAATATTCAGTCTAAAACTTCCCTTTAGCAACTTCAAACCACTGCCTCACATCCTATCACTTGTCACCCAAGGAAACAAGACTGTCACCCACCCACCTTGCTGTAACCTCCTTTCAGGCAGCTACAGTCAGCAGTGGGGTCTCCCGTTAGCCTTTTCCTGACTGAACAGCCTCAGTTCACTCAATCAGTCCTTTCACCAGCTGTGTTAATCTCTGCACACACCTAAGCAACGTCCTTCTTGTAGCAAAGGGCCCAAACCTGAATTCAGCACTCAAGGTTTTGTCTCACCAACACAGTGTACAAGGGCACTACCCCAGTCCTACTGGTCATACTATTTCTGTTGCAAGTCAGGATGCCATCGACCTTATTGGCCACCTGGGCACGCTGCCTGATCACATTCAGACAGCTGCTGACCAACACCCCCCCCAGGTGATTTTCTGCTGCACAACTTTCCAGTCACTCTACTCTAAGGCTATACTACAGCATGGGGTTGTTATGACCCAAGTTTAGGACCCAGCATTTAGCCAGGCTGAATGTCATGTGACTGGACTCAGATCATCAATACAGAATATCTAGATCCCTCTCCAAAGGGAGATCCAACCTTTCCAGATCTCTCTCCAAAGTCTTTACACTCTCATGCAGACCAACAGTCCCTCTTAACTTCGTATTGTCTGTAGATTTAGTGAGGGTGCCCTCAGTTCCCTCATCCACATTGATTAAAATGTTAAAAGACTGAATCTTGAGAAATGCCACAGAACCTGGTTTCCAGCTGGACAGAACTCCATTCACTGCAACTTTGAGCCCAGCCATCCAACCAATTCTTTGTACAGCTACTGAAGCCATGAGCAGTCAGTTTCTCCAGGAAGAATACTGTGAGAAACAGGGTAAAATTCTTTCCTAAAATTGAGGTAAACAACATCCACAGCCTTTCCCTCATCCACGATGACTAAGCAGGTCATCTTGTTATAGAAGGAGGCCAGGTTAGTCAGGCAGATCTGCTCTTCTGCTGTCTGCTTCTGATCACCTGATTATCCTGTATGCATCATACTATGACAAGACATAGAGGTAACCATGCGTAGCCATATCTGTGTACAGGAACTGTATCTTATTCAGAATAAACTACTACAAAATATTTACTCATTTTTACAAGGATGCCTTATTAATATCCCTACAGGTGTCAACTGTAAGTGAGAAATACAGGTTTTCTGACCTCAGTGGAAAACAACGGATAATTTTGAATAACCTAAGTATCTCTCACATTTTTCATTTTCAAGAACTATTGCTCACTTGCAAATCATAACACTGCTTAGGCCTCAAGAGCTTTCAAAAATCGTATCTGCAGAACTCCATTACACATATTTATTTTGGAGGACTTGTACTTAAAATCTAAAAAGCCCTCCAGAATTACTATAAAAAATTTGGTTGTCGAACGCATAACAACTACCTTATTTAACAGGCAGAGAAGTGTACTATTTTAAAGCATTCTTCTCAGCTTTCCAAGATAAAGCCCTTGAACAAGTGTTATGTTGATTTTTCAAAACATAGTTAATGTTCTGAAAAAGTACCTATTATCTTGATACTGCGAACTATACACCCTCAAATTCAGATGAAAGGCAAGATGACAAGAAATGCCTCTTCTCACACTCCATATCACTTCATCACAATTCACCACAGAATATCTGTAACACTGCCACTACCTGACAAGAGTAGAAATTATCAGCTGCAGAACTCTGTGGCATTCCCAAACCTATTAAAAATTCAAGATAAATTAAGGCAAGCTGGTAAATCTATGTACCTTTCCATAGTCACTAGCAAGTGTCTGTTATTTAGTTCTTCTGATAAAACCTGAAGTTTGCCCTTGCTTCCAAAAATGCCCATTGCAGACAACTTTCTATTCCAAGTCCTTTCAGATTATTGTGATCAAAATTAGGTCCTGTATTGCAGCACCCAGTTCACAGAAAATAGAATAATAGAAAGGCTGGGGGAGGCTGATAATGCTTAAATTAATTTCTGAGTTCACAAGAACACTACCTGTTAGAGCCACTTAGATTTGTACTTTCAAGATAATCTCAGTAGTGTTGCAAAATTGGGGAAGCCTTACTATTTAGATTGAGCGTGTGCCTGTTCCCTTTACTTACACTTTCATTATACATCATATGGATCAAAAATAATCCAAAGTATTTAGATCTGTCTTTTAAAGAGGGAAAGAAAAAAAAAAAAAAGCAACCTAACATAAATTAAGATTTATTCCAGGGCCTGCAGGTAGTGATTCTATAGCTAACCATTAAAGAGACTTGCTAAATGACCTTGAGTAAATAATTAAATAGTGCTTGTAAAGTAGTCTAAAAGTAAACACACTAAATGATTCACATTGTAAAACTTCAATCTTTAAAGCTTTTTCTTCTACATTGTTTTTCCCTAATCAAAAACTTCTGTGTTAAGATTTATTTTAGTGCTTGTTGAAGAAGTCAGGGAGTGGGAAGAAAATCTGAGCTGTCATTACTTTCCTTCCAGCTGTTTTTCACAATTCCAACAAAGTACTTCAGTTATTTCATTAACTTGTTTTGTTAAAACACAAATGGGGGAGGAGGGGAAGGGAGATGCATTCAACTTTTTAAAGTACTGTTTTTGTTTTATAGACATTCATAAAATTTGAACCTCGGGGATCTGAGGAGCACTTCTGTGCACAAAAATCTACATACAAGTTCCACAAATCCTGCAGACTTCACCCCGCAGAATGTGTTCAATTTCTAAGCCTAGCCAATGGGAATCAGAGACAACGGCTGCTGCAGAGGGGCTGAGTGACCCAAGTGACCCCAGAAAAGACGACTAAAGGTTTTGTCTTGTTCAGTGGTAGAAAACAAGAACAGAAATTTTCAATACAGATGTTGTTAATTGGCTTGAAACCAATGCCTACACAAGCTACTAATATGCCAATAAAAACTACTAAGCAGGTTATTAAATTATTATTTGTATGTGCCTAACTTGGAAGCCTATGAAGCATTTGCCTCTATTATCTGTGTTCTCTACAGAGCCACTTACAACAATTAGCTCACTGGCTGTCTTAATTTGTGTACAAGTTAGACGAAGTAGACATATAGCTGAAAAAATTACTACTTAGCATGTATAAACATGAAGTAAACCAATGAAGTTACTGAGGGTTAGTGTGATGTTGATTTTCACACACTTGGGGAAAATGCTGGGTAAGAAGCCAAATTTAAGGTGATGTTTTGCAGACTGATGGACTGCTATTTTCTAAGCAGAGAACAGTATGTTAAATGGTCATGATTTCTGTAAGAAATCAAAAACCGTACTTCAATGTCTGCTGTAATAAAAATATCACCGCACAAAAGCAGCACTGTGTTCACATTTCAATGTTAGGTATTGTAGACGAATTGAAGCTGTTGTGTCACACAAAATGATTTCCCTTTCTGGAAAAAAAAGAGTTTTTGACATTGGTTTACAAGAATAACTAATGCAGTGGCATTTGTTGTTCCGAGCATGTATTACCTTTGCATGATCAATGCGAACAGAGAGCTCTTTCGATGCAAATCCACCAAAAATCAGGCTATGGATGGCTCCTATTCTTGCACATGCCAGCATGCAGCACACTGTCTGTGGAATCATGGGCATGTAGATGACCACTCGGTCTCCTTTCTTCACACCATGTCTGACCATGACATCAGCTAACTTGGACACCTGTACTGACAAAACATTCACAACATTAAAAGCTTTTCCCACAGTCAACAAACTCAGCACATTAAGGAGACAAGCAAGTAAGATACAGAAAGTTGATGAACAATGCAATCCTCAGTCCAACTAGAAGTAACAGGAACAGGAGTTTTGTTTACAGTAGTTTAACACCAGCGACAAGAATAATAAATTGTCTGGGAAGTTCTTGGGGTATCAGAATACTTAGGTAAGTCTAAATTCAGAGAAAAGCAGTTGCTGTCTGAACTCTCACTCAATAGTAACACTTTTTTCCTTAGTAAGCTGCCATTCACTACAAAATACCACAGTAAATATTAGAAATTATGAGATTCTAATTTGTTTCACTATCAGTGCAATGTGAATCTACTCATATATGAACATCTCACACCTGACCTATAATGCATTATTCTTTCTGTATTCATTATACCACACAGGTAAGGTATTAAGTAAAGTTCAGCCTTGTGGAAGACTCTTACCATTCTGTACTATCAGACTGGGAAGAAAAGAAGGGTAACACAGACTCCTGAAAGCAGCAAGGGGATATTCCTTGTAGAATGAAAAATGCCCACTTCCAAGCGTCTCAAGCAAAAACATGTTTTCAGTGACGTAGCAAATAACATAAGCAATGGGAACAGCCTAGGCCAATAAGTAAAAGAGGAAGGAAGGTTTTTCTTTTTGAAGGATGTACAATTCAGGAAAGCAGATGTGCCTTAAAACGTTTTACTTTCATTTATATTATTCTCCAAATTTGCGTTTTCTCTATTCAAAGAGTTATTTTAATGTAGTTTAACATTTTAAATACTAGTATCACTGTTACCATCAGTGATTTGTAAGCATTAAGTGCTTTCTTTTAGGGTCACATTGAGGAAAATGTGACGCAATTACGTTCTGTACTGAAGAGGGGCACAGCATTACCTCACTGCTTCTCTGTTCAGTGGAATCACACATCTCTGTGGCCTGAGATCGGAATATCCAAGAGCTCAAGATGCATC